TGTAAATATATATATATATACATGTGTATATATATATATATATATTTACATTTATATTTATACTTATACTTATATATGTAATAAGTCTACTATGTTAGAAGATCAAAATATGTCTTGTGTGTGAGGTTGCATGTCATACAGACATACAGACAGACATACATACATACATACGTACATACGCACATACATATATGTCATATCTTATACTGAGCAAAGCGAGATAAAGTGACACACTGTATAATACATACCACATATCCAGACACCATGCCGCACAATATATGCTACAAGTTGTATATTACGTCACTGGGTGCTAGATGTTCTATATTCACAATATACAGTATATACTATGCTACTACAGTATGGTAATTTTGCACATTGAAGGTTGTGGGTTGCACACCATACAGAACAGCCTATGGATTTGAGATTCTCGGGTACAGGTTAAAGAACATAGAATATAGGCTGCAGACTATAGGTTACAGAAGATACTTGTAGAAACGTTCTACATTGTTTGTGTACCCTTTTTTATATATTACGAACTTCGTTAGAGATTACTTACTATAGATGAAAAGGAAAAATGGCAATTACATTATGTGTGGCAGTCGTTTGCGAGATACTGTACACATTATACTGCTGCATTTTACGTCATACATGTCCTGTACTGTCTAGTATGTACTGCGTACTCACTACATCTTATGTTTCTAAAATTTTATATTCTAGACGTTGTCAATTTTTATTCATCTATACAGAGAATATACAGAGAGAGGGAGAGAGACCAAGCTGAAGTTACATGGGTTCGCAAGTTGTTGCATCAGCCTTTCTGCATCCACTGGCCGCGACAGTAAACTTGTCGCTGGCGGTACGCGGAGCCCGCCCGCTGCATCTCAACCAGCTCAGGTGTGGGACAATGCATCTGCGTCCAAGTGCCGAAAACCTCGCACAACAAATCTTCAAAAGCTGGCATGAGACTAGAGGTACTGACACAAATGCTTCATGCAAAACGAGAATGGATATGGGTCTTCTTCTACATCGGCTTTGAGGACTCTCAAAGTGACCTTCCGCACTCGCGCAGATGACTATTCGAACTACCTTTGGAGTTCAAGTCACACGTGCCAGGCTATTTCACTAGTGCTCACCGATGGCAAGGAAACACCACAAATGCATCTTACACTTCGTTGCACTTGAGACAATCTGCAGCCGGGTGCTACAGTGGGAGCCACTATGATGACAATAGCCATTACTGCAAATGCAGTTGCTGACCATGCCCACATCTGACAGTCGTGCTCCCTTCGGGCTTTAGAGTTTTAACTTGCGACTTCATGGACTACATTTAGGCGGTCCCTTGCCACACCCACGAGGCAAAGAGGCTCGTGCCTGCTTGCTTCCTCCCGTCAGACCCGAAGCCACGAGCCCAAGAGGCTGAGGGGTTGGGCAGGGCAAAGTACAGCGCGGGCTTATACATTATTCAGATTATACAGGCCTAAAGCTCCAGATCTAGCATCTGCAGAGTCTGCGGATGTGGCAGACAAGGCCAGCGTCTCCGGAAGGCATCGGGTCCCAGTGTAACTCCCTGCGTAAGTTAAACAGGCTGAAGCTGCTGGAAGCCATTGTTCGCGACCAGGTGCATAAAGCCCAGCTACATACCTAATGCTTGGCAGTAGCTACTCTGCCCTATCTTTCTGCGACCTGCGACCTGACACATACCACCTTCAGAGTATATTGCTACTGCAAATTGGTTGTTCGTATTGCCCGCTGCTAATGAAGCCAGATCAAGGATGCAATGGTGCCGAGTTCGATGATGCAACATGGCCAGGCATGAACCGCGCGCAGGCATGTTGACTACATCATCGTTCTTTGCTCGCCCCGGCGTGAGTGTAGTATGCAATAATAGACTCGAAAGATCTCTGTCCGATAATTTCAGTCCCTGCAGTGGAGGCTCATCTAAGGCTGCAGGATCCGACGGCAGCATGGCAAGACACCCGGAAAGGAGGAGGCTCGGCACTCCTCGCAACTCACACGGCCTCACGGGGTCCTTAGGAGCGGAACAAAACTTTCGGAAAGGGCGAGGATAAGCCGTAGCAGCAGAGACAGATGAGAGAAAGCGGTGCTGACAAAAAACGATGATGTACTGACCGTGCAGCTATGACTTTATTCCTCTTCTACTACGACCACGGGTACCAGCTTGGACGGGTCAGTATCTGCTACTATGAGAAATCTGTAGCATCCAGAGAACTCCCAGCCCCGCACCCAGCAGAAAGAGTCCTGAAACTGCAAAGCAGGCCCTTCATCCGTGCGCACTGCAAGAACCCAACTTCGAAGACCCCCAAATTCTCCAAGTTAAGGGCTGCGGGTTTCGAGTCCAGAACTCAACTTTAGGTCCTTCTTGAGTGGCCGCATTGGCAGGTAGCCCTCGTCGAGGCCGTGGCGGCTACTTCAGCGCAGCAGCTCCGAGATGCCCCGTGAGTCCAGCAACTGTGCGGGTTTGTCTCCGTCTCCGGTTTAGAGTTTAGGGCTCCTGTGGGCTTCTGGGGTTTAGTGACTTTAGTGATTGCTGGAGCATCGGGTCTAAGGCTGGCGGTTAGATGGGGTTTGGGACTTCACGACCAAGCTTTAGAAGGGGTTTAGTTTGGGGACAGCTGCTTCGCTCCTCCTTGTTTTTTGAACCAGAAACCCTCCGCCCGTGTGAGCCTTCGCGTCCCGCTGCTGGATCTCCGGGTGAAACTTCCAGCACCTGGCAAAAAGGGGCTGCACTGCGGGCCTTTTGAGCCGTTTCCACAAAAAGCTGAAAGACATGGCGAGGCCGCTCGGCGTAAATGTAATTTTGCAGCAACCTCTTTGTAGGAGTGAACCTGGAGGGGCACTCAAAAGCTCAGATTGGGATCCGGGCTTGATAGGAGGGATCAGGGTTCTTGAGGCCAAGGCTTCAGGGGTTCGGACTTTGGAACTCGGCTTCAAGTTTCGGCTACTTGACAAGCGCTCAAAAGGATCTTGTCCTGGGTTCCACCTAAACCCTAAACCCCAAAGCACTCCGGGTGCAGGGCTTGTCGAAAGCCCAGTCGACCGGAGTTTCAGCCACGGGCTCGTCGTCGGGCATGTGAAGCGTTTCATAATACCTGGCCATACAGGAGGGCATGATTAGATTGCATGGTCCACTGATACTGGAAACCAGACGAAGCCAGGGTTGAGCCACGTCCATGTTCAGCTAAATGCACACCTCACTCCAAGTCGATTTTCTCAGCAGGCTGTCGAAAAGAGCGAGTCTGGACATGTCTGCGCTGGTCCGGCTCCACCTGTATGCATCCAAGCCCTTCTTCCCGAAACCCCAAGCCCGGGCGGCACGGTAGAATGAGGCACTCTGGTATCGTCGCTCGCTTGGTCGGGTTGAAAGTGAGCCTGGGGCGCCACAGCTTCGAAACGTCGATGCCATTTGGGCCCTCGGACCTTTTATGTTTTGGATTGGGGTGTGTCCGGTTCCGGGCTCTTGGGCTGTACAGACAGCGAAGGGCGAGGAGAAGACAACTGTTGAACATGACTTCACCAGGACATTCGGCGGGCCAAGTAGGGGAACACTGGTTGCGATGCAGAGAGCGATGGTCAAGGTCCTTAATAAGGTGACAGTAGTTGTCGTCGTCGTCGCAGTACTACTGGTGTTACTGGTAATCACCGGCACTTGTTTTATCAACTTACTAGTAGTGTTGCTAGTAGAGCAGCAACAGCAGCAGCAGCAGCAGCGGCAGCAGCGGCAATAGCGGCAGCGGCAGCAGCAGCAGCCACCGTAACAGGCATGGTACGGAACAAGGCTTGCTTCCCCAACTTCCTCAGTATGCGGCATCCGCTCAATGGCATAGATGCCCGCCTCTGTCGCCTGGCCATCGGCAACAACTTGAGCCGGACTGGTCTGGGAGCTTCCACTGGAGCTCAAAACTCTGCAAAGATCGTGCATGTGCACACCGCCTGGGCTTGTGGACTACTACGAGGACCGGGTCGGGCGATAGAGCAGGATCCAGACCCACCGAAGACCTCAACAGGACCTGAGGAAAACCCCACAGACCCACAGCACCGCCCAACTCAAAAACAGCAAGAGAGGCCTTGGGATAGACGGACTTCCAGCTCTGCTTGGTGCAAGGGGGGACCTGGCGCAAACGAGTGAAGATTTCAGGAATTTGAGATGTTCCGTTGATGTCCCGTGGATGGCTTAGTCACATGTTTAAAGTTGTTTAAGGCTTCAGTGCATTACTACTGTCAGTTCATACCAGTGCTACGGACTTGGGATGAGAGTGTTGTGAGTCGGGTCGAGTCTGGGGATCCGGGATTTGCGACTAGGGACCATGCTCGTGCTTGCAACTCGCAGTCGCACTGGGAAAAGACATGGTAGTGCAACCCTGAACCCTGATCTCTCAAAGTGAACGAGAAAGTTGCCTGCCTAAAACCCGCGAGAGCCCCTCAAATCTTCTGGTCGCCTTCTTGATGAAGTTCCTAGCAGGGCTCCGAGGAGGCAGCCATGTCAGGTCTTCCTGCGCCCGACAGCTGATGGGGGTTGAGCTGCCCTGAGGTCGTTGCTGCAAACCCTTGTGACGACTCTTGCCCTTATGACCCTAAACCCTACTAATATCACTTGTCGTGAGGTCTTGGGGAGTTTCGGGCATCGCTCCGCGATCCGAGCCCTGGACAGAGGCACCAGAGCTGTGAGGGACATCTCGGAATTTGGGTGCAAGCCTTGAGGACTTCGCTTCGACTCCTGCAGGTCCTACGGTGACACCAGATCTGCCTTTGCCGACGCAATCCCAAAACCATCACTCGTAGCAGGCCTCCGAGGGCATGCCCACGACCGCTAAGATCTTCTTGATCTGGTCCAGGTGGTCCTTTCAAAGAGCTGTAGGACTTGGAGGTTGGATCACCTAGGCGTTTGGAGTTGGGAGGCAAGGGTTGAGAACGCTCTTCACATTTAGGGCACGATGCCTGCCCCAAACCGAAAGACCACATAGACGGGAGGATCTCAGAGATTCGGTTTCTGGGGGCGCCTTATGACTACATTTAAACATGGACCGCCTGAGCCCTGCACCTGAAGTGGAAAGTCGCTCATCATTGCGATTCCTTTTCGCAACCGTGTGACCTGGTGTAATGAAACCGAACACCCCTCGAGCGGCCTCAAACAGGGAGGCGAACATTCCTTAAATCCCAAACGCAAAAAAAAAAGGCTTGGCCTTGCCGGTGAAGATCGGCTTGCGGCCGATCAACTCGCAAAGAATGCACCTGGCCGCAATCTTCGTATGTTCGCTGCGAACTAAGACCGACTGCCGAGAAATTCCAAGCCTCTCGCAAGCATTTCTTACGGCTCGAAAACCCGGACTCTGTGCAGATATGCATTGCTCTGCATCGAGGGTTGAGTTTAAGATAGCCATAGCGGTTTTGCCACAAACTAGCTGCTCTTGGAGAAACCCTGTGAACCCAAAGCTCTAAACTCTGACCAATAAGCAACGATTGCAAGTGAGATGCATAAATCTGGGCTTTCGTGATTTTTATCTACGATTAATCTGGATCTCGGCGTATGGCTTGCATCGCGGGGCTGTTTTCGTATTATTTCGTGTTATACTGTGGTCTTTGGGTGACTAAATGCTTCTGGGGTCGCAGTGCTCACGGCTATCGGCGTTGGGAGTTTGGCAGGGCACCACAGCATCACTCGTGTGCTCGCGACCGTGACCAAATCTGGATTTGGCGTATAGATAACTCCAAACGTGTGCGACTCATAAAGTTGCTGGGGGTTTCTAAATTCAGTTTTAAGGTCTAGGCCCTTGAAAGAATCCGTGCAAGGATCTGAACACGCGCTCTTTACACGCTTGTTTTCAAAGATCGCTGCTTCAGTCATGTGAAACACTGAAACTTGCAACCGCCCCTGACATGCCGAGCCATTGAATTTTCTGTGGGCACACAATCGGCGAAAATGCAGAGTTACTGCGGCCGTACTCCTTGAAACCAGCCTTTTCATTGCATTTCCTGGCCGCCGCATTCGTTTCCAAGACGACGAGTGTTGCTGTGAAGCTTGCGATGCATTTGTCGATCCCGACGTTGGCCTCCGTCGCCTCCAAGAGCAATCCTCCCAAACCTTTTCCCGGGTGTGCACGGTCAACCTTACAATGAGTTATTATAACGTTGCTCTGGTCAGAATCAAAGGTGGCATGAACATACCAGGCAATGGTCTTTGTCTCTTTGGACACGGCTGCTGACGCGCAGGAAGAAAGATCCAAGCCGTTTGCGAATCTTTCAATACCCTCCATCCGCGCTTGGCTAGCCTTTAGCAGCACATTCACCAATCCTCTGGCAGCTTCGGGCTCCAAGTCGTTGCACCACGGCAGGCTGAATGGTCCCCTGCGGAACTGTCTCTCCGACCACCGCAAGCCCTTGTTACATCCACTGACGCGCTGGCAAACGAAATAGGCATCATTTTGAGCCAATATCGTCGCCTTGTCCACATCAACGAGTGGCTCAGCATCCTCTTCTTATTCAATCTCCCAACGCGCGAAGCGACTTCTGGTTGCGGCACCCGGCCAAGACAAGCTCAGCTACACTAAGTTTTCTGTGCAGACGCACGGACACACACTTTTGTCCACTCTTCCCTTCCGGACGGTGGCGAACTTCGAGCTCTGCTCGCTGCGCTCTCGAACTGCGTAGCTCGATTCTTTAAGAACGGCTTCACAGGAGGCGCGAACGAACTAGCCGGAATCTGTGCTTCCGGGTGGGAGAGGTGGGAGAAACGAAAAGCGCTAATTCGAACTGCTGCACTCGGGCCTTCGCTGCACTGCGAACAAGTGCACTCGCAAAGACCCTCGCTTCGTAGTTCTCGTTACGCTACCTTGTCACTTCGAACACACGTGTTCTGCACGACAAGCTCAGCTACACTAAGTTTTCTGTGCAAACGCACGGACACACACTTTTGTCCACTCTTCCCTTCCGGACGGTGGCGAACTTCGAGCTCTGCTCGCTGCGCTCTCGAACTGCGTAGCTCGATTCTTTAAGAACGGCTTCACAGGAGGCGCGAACGAACTAGCCACCCTCAGCGCGCCTCGAAGCCACTCTCTGCGCGCTCGCGAAGCTGTGGCGAAAGGTGAGCTACCAGCTGAGCGAACTCGTGACCGTAGTCCTCGCAGTCTGCCTGGAACTTCTGCAGGATTGGCCACACTGCGTCGAAAGAGATCTCTCGCAACACTCCGTCCAGGGCGAACAAATCGCTGGTGTCTCCTCTAGAGATGCCGTCCGAGATGTTCTCGGAGCTCGCCACTCTGTGAAAGGACACCGAAAAATAAGTCGATGCCGCCCAAATCCAAAAAGCTCCTATTATTGCCGAGAGGCGAAGATCCTTGGAGTATCCTTTGTTGAGCGCGTGCTCTGCGGCCGTGTTGTCGATCCAACATGCCACGTGTTCACTGCAGACCGAACTTGCTACTGCGACCGAGAGGATCTGGGCTAGGGCTTCCAACCAGAAAATGTACGCTCTGGAAGACGCTAAGTCGGCCAACACTGTCGTTGGAACTTCACCCCGAAAACCAACTGGTGCGCGACCCGGCACCGCCACGATGGCACCGAATCCGTTGGTGGCCTGCTGAAGCTCCTGCAAGGGCGGAAGTTCTTCAAGCAATCTCCGGGCACTCCTGCGAACACCATGTATGGTTATGAATGCGTCTGCGTACAAGTGTGTGACTGGTTGTGCTCTCTCAGACTGACTCAAAGCGAATCGTCTTGGCTGTAGCTCTGGTAACAGTTGCGAAAGTTGCACCAACGCCTGCCGAACCCGGGGAGTCAGGCGACTCGAGCCCGGGTTGCCATGGTGTTGTCGAAAATACAACGGCTGCAAAAACGAGCGACCTAAGTTGTTGAAAACCCACGTGCATGTCAAGCTCAACTTGCCGGTGAGAGCCGAGCACTCGGCGGCGGACATGCAGTCCCGTGTCAAATATCCCTGGATAGTCTCTCTCAGCTTGGCTATTCTTGCCGGCCCAGGTGACGCGAACAACGTCTGGCCTTCGAAGCTCCATTCGATTCCCAGCAGGGTGTGGCGAGATTGAGGAGGCTTGGATTTTTCCTCCTTCATTCTAAAACCTAGCAACCTATGAAAGGCCTGGAATATTGCGAAAGCTGCGCTAGCAGTGGCTGACTGTTCGATCATAAAGAAATCGTCGACATAATGTGCTGCGAACGTGATCAAAAGAACTATATGCTCAAGAAAGAGACCACGTCGGCTACTCGTAAGTAGCCCCACACGGATCCCACAGATCCAAATGGTAGCGCAAAATGCGACCACAACGTTGGCGGACTCCCTGGGAGGACCAGTCCGCATTCTGTCGGGCTGCGAACCGGCATGCCCCTGTAGGCTCCTTCGTGGTCTACCGCGGCCAGGACTGGTGCAGATGCGAACATGTTGGAACATGTTACCGCTCCCGACACGACAGTGGGGGCCCCCATGTAGGGTGGAGCGTCCGATGCGGACACTGTGCTGTTGTGGTGCGAACGTAGCCAGTCGTCTGCCCTGCGCACCTTGTCGCCTTGCACAACAGGAAAACCTTTGGCGACCTGGATCTGCGGGGGCTCTCCTTCTGTGGAGATGAGCTCCAACGGCAGTGGGCCGTGCACGCGACCTATCTGCTTTTCTTTGTAGAGCTCCGCGAGCATGGTTGACGTATGCTCGCCTGGTGGAGTGTGCTCCGACAACTCCCGCGCTAGTGCCGCGTTTGCGGACAAAAAGGCGGACTCGTGCAAGGGTCTGCAGTATCTCGCATCGTCACGATTTGGCCAACCTGAACCTGGGGTGAGGGGCCCTAACAGCTTAAATCCCCAAAACAACTCAGACAGAAGGGACTTGCGACCTGATAAACTGCAGAGGTCTAACAACCACGCGAGGGGCAGAAGCTGGAAACGAAAGTGGGGAGTTCCTTGGCGGTAAACTGTCGCCACGTGGCTGGGCAACGCTTGAAGGGTCTCTTCCTGCTCCTCGCTAAGCTCTGCGACCAATTGTTGCAGGTCTTGAACTACTGTCTGGCGGACCTGTGTGACTCGTGGTCCCAAAGCCTGCTGCATCTTGAACGTCCACTCGAGGCATGGATTAGGTGTGGCTGGGAAAACTGTAGCGAAAGTAAACTGCTGTGTCCACGCGAAGTGCTGCAAGGGCCCGCGACCCGGTGCTTCGAGCTCGGGTTGCGCAGGCTCCGTAGGGTCCCACCGAAGACCCGAGCGTAACCACCACGAAGCTACCCTCTGTAACGGCCTGTCTCCGTCGGGGTGCCAGCGAACCTGGAAGGCTGGGTCTGGCACCTGCGGGTACCACTGCTCCGCCGCGACCATGTTCGCGTCAGTGACACCTGCTTGGCACAAGAGAACGAACACTAGCAACCTTGCTACGCCTGCGTGCCATGCGTTGCCTAGTAGCCTAGCCCTACTGTGAGGTGACACTGCTGCCGTGTATCCGCTCGGAAGCATCTGGAGCCATTCTCTGGTCGGAGGGTCTGGAAGCCCTTCTTTGCCTGCAACCTTGACCAGGGCGTGTTTGCGAAACTGCCACGGGGGGTAGGCTCGGTTGGCTTCTTTCCAGCGGTTCAGTGTGTCAGGGCTCTCTGCGCGACGCTTCTTGGCTGGCGGCTCGCGACCCTGAGGGTTCTCAGCTGGCGTCGTGAGACAGGGGAACCTAACCCGACCTGAAGAGACCTCGTTGCTGAAAACTGCAAACGGGCACGTTGTCGCCACCTGCTTGGGGAAAAGCGAACTGTTGGGGATCAACTCCCACATCCTGTTGAGGCGACGCCAGCGAACCTGGCCTGACAGGATTATTGGTGGTTCCCTTGCGTTCTCAGCCGGAGGGTTGATCACGTTGGACCACCAGAGCCGGGGACGAGAGACCATTCCCCAGCTAGATGCGTCGCACACGAACGATCTGCACTGCAGCATGTTGTCGAACGTCTGCTGCATGCTCAGAGGCATGACGACGTTCTCTACCAGAAAAACTACTCGAAAAGACGATGCTTGCTTAAACTCGGACAACCATGCAGCGAACTGGTCAAATTTAGCCCCTTCCTTGCCTGCGGAACCTGGTGGGTTGCTACGTATTCTGGAAAAGTCGTGACACGGAGGTGCGGCGAAAACCAACAGGACCGTTTCCTTGGGAACTGAGGCCGCAACTGCTGCTAGCACGTCCTGCGGACTGCGACCAAAAACGTCGCCGTGGCGTATCACCTCAGGGTGTTGAGAAGAGGCGACTCTGATTGCTT